ACTTCATCGCATCAACGATTCTTGGCTTAGCTACACAGTTTTTGTATTCTCTTTCTATCTTGTCCGCCCTAAAGCCACTCAAGAGATTTTATTTTACCAGGATCTCAAGAGTGGACTTAAGTACCGTTTCAGTTCCCTTAGCCGTCACAATGAGTTCTGGGTTTAGGCATCCTAGTGCCTTTGTTAGGGGATACTTTAGGGGGGATTTAGTCATCATTTTAATAGAAAACTCAACTAAGCAATTTACACAATCCTTCCGGAACTGTAACATTTCTCGTTCAGTTACACCTTTGCATGATCTTAGTGCATGCCTTGTACCGTAGCCTAGGTCAGCTTCTTTTACTGACATCAGATTTTCTTTTTTTGACAAATCGATGGATTTCAACAGTTTTTTTTGTAAACCGTCTTGTTTGACGATTCTATCTAGGATGTTCATGCCTTGTACCGTAGCCTAGGTCAGCTTCTTTTACTGACATCAGATTTTCTTTTTTTGACAAATCGATGGATTTCAACAGTTTTTTTTTTAAACCGTCTTGTTTGACGATTCTAGCTAGGATGTTCTTTAACAAAGAGGAGAGTGAATTATATAGAACGGTACCATGGGGTTGTCAGTTTGATACTCCCTCAAAAATGGAGTGACCTCCTCAGCCAAAGACATAAAAAACGTCAGTTTAGCCTTCAGAAGTTAGTCCTTTAGACAATTTTCTATCACTACAAATACAAAGCTTTTACACGTTGGCTCCCTGTTAGTGTTTTTTATTTTTTTGTGTTGCTTACTTTTCTAAGTAAGGCAGCATGGATAATGCCCTGGCTGCAATGTCAACATTTTCTAACGAACGGTGAAGAATTTTAAGGCGAACTGTGTTGATCAGGTATTTGCAATGAAATCTCCTCTGCGGGCCGGGACGTCCTTGAAGAGGTTGTAGATCGCCCTAAGAAAATCAATAACCTCCCAGGTGGTTGCCTTTATGCCATTTTTGAATGCGCAGTGCACAGTGTGAATGCCGCAGGACCCAATATCCAGGAGGTGTGGATCTTTGTTTGTTGTGACCAACTCCTCCTTAAGCATTTTCACCATACGATGATTCACGTTGGGCCCATCCATTGAGATCTGCAGCAACTTCTTTGGATCAAGATTAGCTAAAGCTGACTTCAGGCCATCCAGCAAATCTTGAGAGGTAGTGTGCTCCAAAAAAAACGGAAGTCAGATATCTAGTGGATAGTCTATTCAGATCCACATCCCAAAACCGAACGTTAACATCCATTTGTTGTCTTTAGGCAATTTTGTTTATGCTTTCATCAAAGCCAACGACGAAATAGTCACATTTTTGAATGGTTTTCTTCAAGATGTTTCCAAAAAAAGGTCCAAGGCCATGAGTGATAACGTATGATATTTTTGTTTTTTGCAGGTTCATGCTTTGTGCGATTTCACAATCAGGAAACATGATTTTAAACAATGAACAACTACTTACTGCTGCTCTTAGAGATTCATGATTGTTTAAGGTCTGAAGACACCACAGGATTTCGGCGCGCGTTATCTTATCCTTTATAATAAAGTTGTCAAATACCCCGCGTGAAGTGGAAGGGGTAGGTTTGGAAAGATGTTGTACAGATCGCGATGATGATTCTAAGGACGTAGTTGCACTTGAAGTGAGTGGAACAAGCTCTAAGGGATTTTGCACGGAGCCTGATGTGGCTTGTGATGACGTAGTTGAAGCTGCCGGGGAGGGGGAGGGGATCGTCGTTTGCTCTACAGATGCTACTGTCGCTTGGCTACAACTTTTATTAGTGAAAAATGTATCCAGTGGCACAGATTTCATTGCGTCATTCACCCTCATTTTGTGTTTTTTGCCTTCGGCATGGCTCTGCAAAGCTCTTCTGCCCATACTGTCAACAGCAAAATCTTGTTTGCATAACGAAAATCTTGCAGCATGTAGATTAGCTTCAACAGGTTTCACCCAGGAGAATTTGTTGACCCAATTGTCTTGGAACCTAGTTTTTCCACGAATTTTCTTCATTTTCAAACCTACAATAAATAAACTATGTTAAATATTTTATAAGCGCAGTCTGTAAAAAATTAATCTATTCCTAGAGAATTTTATATTAAGTTTCGTAGGTACTATCGTATGATACGGAGGCCACTTATACTAGAGGGATTTTTTTACCGGAGACCAAAAATAACAAAAAATTGGAAAGAACATACTTTAATTGATTTACTGTAAAAATTTGACATGACCACGATTAGCGGTCTTTGAGTTCTGCCTCCAAGAAGGCAGCGATGTCGGCGAGGATTGAATGTGTCGCCGCGCCGCTGCTAGCTGCCACAAGTACTCCGCCAAGTAAATACAGCACGCTGCGGCGGTTATGTTTTATTTATGTTAGGTTGGGTTATCAAAAATATGTTTGTAGGACTTTGCTTGTTTCGATATGAATCGAGCAGATGTGTCGTCACTCGGGACACTGACAAAGATACAGGCAGGCGGTGACAGGTGATCTGCGCGCTCCGGTCAACGACCTGACCTTGACCTTCTTGTAGGGGATTTGGCGGGCGAAAGTACAGTAGCCTATTACTCATCTGGTGGGTGGCCTTGTATAATACGAAAGTACCGTTTCGTATTAATAATTGAAACAAAATATATTACTGTATATTCAAATTAAATTAGCAACGGCCCGTCAAAAAGAAACGTCGGTTACAAAAGAATCAGCCGAATTTGCTATAAAATGATTCATCGTGAGACTACGTTCCGCCATTTCGCACCGTAGCCTACACTGTATAGCTGCGTGGGACTGGCAAATAAATATAGGCTACATCCTGGAAATCCATAACTTCCGCCATCAATGAATAGATCACCAATTCCTAGAATATCGGGTGCTGTAGAACCAACGCGATAATATGCTATTTAAAGATTAAGATTTAATAAGATAAGATTTAATATTCATTAAGACTAAAAACGGAGAATATTATAATGTAATGGAATGAAGAAACATAAACAAATTGGCCCAAAAGTAATTTTTATTATGATTTTATTTATATTAGATGAGTACCTATCAATTAAGTTTTGTGTCCAATTAATAAGGTATAGTAATTATATATTTTGTAGGCCTACTGTACAACAGAATCGGTCTCGCAATTACAGTATTGCTAGGCCTGGTCTACACTAAAGGGAAAAGGGAGACTCAAATTCGTGCCATTTTCGCTGTAAAAAATAACAAACATTTGCATTTTTTACTGCTGTACAACAGCAGTTAATGACGTCCTTTCCAAATAAGAAAACCTATTCTATCACCACCTTTTCTAGCGATTATCGACCTTCCGATCTATTACACCAAAGGAGCATGTAGTGCAAGTAACACGCGATATTCGACCATCTGCTCATAGGCATACGGTTCATATTGGACGAGCACAGTTTGGACAGACGCTGCAGTTCAAGCGATATTAGACCTTCCATCCGTAGGTTATTAAACCGCCGGCAAAACAGTATTTATAACTTCATAGAGGTTAGGATTCATTACCAATTATTGCATTACATTCATACACTATACATACAAAATAATTGATTAATTAAGAACAACACAAAACATCTTTTGTTAACAGATGAAACTGAGAACTTATGTAAAGAGTATGCCTTGCGCTTTGAGGTTTTGTCACTTGGTCAACTTAAATAAAAATAAGTTTAGATACGTTTATAAAATACAAATCAAACATTATTGTGTTTAAGATATTTCAACTTACCTCTATATCCCAGAGAAATTGGACATCCGTGAACAAGAACAATACGAACTGAAAAACTGTTGCTTGTTTTCAATCTAGACGTGCGTGCGTAGTAGACAGCCGAGACATTACACTAGACCGGCCACGGCCACTGTTCACTAGGCATAGAGTTGTATCCACTGCCACTCGTTGCGTCGTCATTACGTCATTCGGGAACCGACTCTGACGAAGTAGCCCGAATCACGATCCTGTGATGGACGGCTTCGAGAAAATGGCGTTCGTAGCCTATCGTTTTTGTAACGTGCTGATATTGTTTTTTATCCTAATTACAGTTTCCGGTTGAGGAAGTATAAATTTTACACGTGTTCTGTTTGACTCTCAATAAATGTTGAATACTTGAAATAAAAAATTGATCCCAGAAAAAATTCCCGTACATTACTGCCATAGTTACAGAATTTCCATATAATTCCCGCATAGTTCCCGGCGTCATAATATTCCCGTATAGTTCCCGCTTTTTCCGGTCACCGGACACCCTGCAAGAGATTAATTTTGGTCTTAAAATACACCTAACATTTTAGTGTACCCGTACATATTGTTTATGGCAAAAGTTCAATATAACCTACCCTGTAATCAAAATTGCATTATAATGTGTCTCCTTAATTATTTCTTCGCGCTAAAACCAAACATTTATGTTAATCGTTTTCAATCAGAAAAAGTCCTGAGTTTCCGGAAAATTGTATTACATTTAGAAAAAAATATAGTTAAATTAAAGGTTCCGGTTGTAGTTTTGAAGCAAGCCCAAGTTCTTGCAGTGACAAATGCTTCAAGGGAAGATAGGTGTGACCATTTCTTTTCTACTGATAGCCTTTTTCAAATTCAGAGTGAAAAATACTGGGTATTTTCTATAGTTTAGGCCGTTGAGGGGCTTCAAACAAGTTTTTAAAAACTCCTTTTTCTCAATATTTCAATCAACTTTGATATTATTATTTTAACACAGGTCAGACTGCAAAACAATAGTCTTGGGACAGATAACATTGACCAAAGAATGCTCTCAGAGTATAGGTACTAATAATGTTCCCTGAGCAAAGCTCGGTCCCCAGGTACTATATATATATGGTGTTTTAGCCTCTGGCGACATAAAAAACTAAACAATAAATAGGTCCCGAGTCTAGATCTTATTATGAGACTTATGGGAATATCTTAATCCCTATGGGAAATTTGCTAAAATGAGACATCGCTACATAAATGTCTCATATAGGTAGTATTGGTGATTATACATATAACCAACCAATATGAGGTCCAAGCCCGCAATCAAGAATCAGCAACATAAGTTCACCCCAGAAGTTGCCAGAGAGAATCTTGTTCAGTTCCATCCATATCCTCTCTCCTGATATCTGTGCTAAACCGGCAGCATTCTCCTTGATGGCATCTATAGTGTCCACATCATGGTTTGATGGCTCTTCTGCGATCCTTCCATAAAACCTGACAACCAAAACATACTGATCAATATACATTTATTACTTAAGACCTTACTATTAATTTACGTTAAGTCGTCAACTTTAATATCCATTGTTGTTATGTAAAACCCTCCTCAAACTTGCTAATTACAGAGTTGCCAATGCTTTTTTTAGTGGGATATTGACTAAATGGGACATTTTGATTTTGAATAAAATAAATGGATTTCTTTCAAAAAACTATAATTTTAGCACAAAAAAGTCTTTTAGCCACTACCTCAGGAAATTGTTATTTCGCTACACAACTCATTAGATAATTTAGAGCTGACACCTGGGAAGTCTTTTAGAACTTGTTCCATTACTTTGAAATATGCTGGGTGCAGTCTTGATTCCAAAAGACAATCTGTTGCTTTGTAAGTACCTTTATGGGTTGATATCGTTTGAACACAAGCACTTTCTTCATCGACACCTATGTGTAGGTAAGCTTTAAAGAGGTCGAGAGTACAGAAAAACTTGGCGTTTCTCACTTTGTGGAGTGTTTCGTCGATCCTAGGAATCGGATAGTGTGAATCATAGAGTTGAGGGTTGACTGTGACTTTATAGTCTGCGCATAGCCTAAGTGTACCATCAGGTTTAGGCACTACAACTAAGGGTGAACCCCAGTCGCATGATTCGATTTTAGTGATGATTTTGTCTTGTTCGAGTTTGTCAAGATCATATCCCACTCTATCCCGGAGTGCATACGGTAAAGGTCTAGGTTTGAAAAATACTGGTTTGGATTGAGGTCTTAACTTTAGAGAGCAGGTGACATTTGGAATATGTCCTATTTCTGGTGAAAATATTTCTGGAAACTTTGATTCTACTGCAGTAACTAGTTTGTCTGTGTCACTGGAAACTAAGTTCACATAAGTAGCGGTATCTTTTGGTCTCTGGGTGTCAAGATCGTTCAAGTGGACTCCAAGTTGTCTTATCCAAGTCCTACCTAGTAGAGGGCTGTACATGTCAGGAACTACAAACAACTGCTGTGCAGATGTGCGTCCATTGTATTCAACCTGAACATTAACTAAGCCTAAGGGTTGAAAAACCTCATTTGTGTAAGAACGAAACCTTATATTTGTATTCTGGATTGTGTTGTGAGGAAGATTAAGTCTATCAAATTGAGCCTTTGGTAGAAGGGTATGAGCTGCGCCTGAATCTACCTCAAACTTTTGTGGTTTCCCATTGATAAGAATAGTTGTGAAAAATTTTTCTGTGTCTGATGAATTGTAGTCAGATACATTGAGAATTTGAAGTTGCCCTATTCCATAAAGTGAGTTTATGTCCTGTGAATCATTTGGAGTAGTACTTCTTGTATTAACTGTAGGCCTGGATTTCTTAGAGAGTAGAGTTGATATTCAGACCTTGGCTATGTGTCCATCCTTTTCACAGCTTTGGCAGTGAAGGCGTGATATATTGGTTTTACATTCCCTGGACATGTGATTTGCTTTACCACATCTTAACCAAAGGTTTCCAATTCCAAGTGTTGTCAAATCAACCTTATTTCGTCTTGTGGAAGGGTGATTCAGTCTGTTGTTAGATCTGTTTTTGAGGTAGGCTGTCCTTGGTGTATGATTCTGGTGTATTGGTCTTGTCAATAACTTGTTGACTTCTGCCTGTGACGATGTTTGATGACTAGAAAAGTTGTTCAGAGTTGCACTGTCTATTTTCGAAGCTTCAATTGCTATTGCCTTTTCTACGGCAATGTAAATGTTAAGTCCTTGGTCTGGATTAATTGTTCTCTAATTGAAGAGTCATGAATTTCCCTGGTAAACTGTGATCTTAAGAATAAGTCAGATACAGATGCTTCACATGATGTACAGGTAAGTTTGCAAGTTGCAATTTGTTTCCTAAGAGCTGTTACATAGTCTGTTATTGATTCATTTTGTGCCTGGATTCTGGATAAAAACTTATGTTGTTCTACAATTTCATTGGTTTTTGGAAAGTAATCGTCTAATAATTTTGTAATTTCATCATAGGTTTGCTCATTAATACTTTTTGGAGCTGAGAGTGAAGACAAAAGGTCATATGTTTTAGAACCCACACTATTGAGAAAAAGCTGGGCACAAATAGTTTTTAAGTGATTTTCAAATCTTTCTTTGTATAATTGAAAAGTTTCTTTGTTTGACTCAAATTGTTCAAAATTGGAAATCAAAGTGATGTTGGATTGTTGAGTCTTTGACATACCTTGAATAGCTGAAGACAAGGTCTTGATTAATATTTCAAACTGTTCTTGGTTCATTTTGAAAATATATATAGAATAAACTTTAAAAACAAATAAAATACCACCGCAACAGCAAACCTGCAGTCTAAGCAAATTTCAACTTGTCTGATAACATTTTTACTAAAATATTTCTATAAATAAGACATGTGCATTCCCAATTTAAATAACATTAGATTTAACAAGTGCTTGGACTTGCTTCTGCAGGGAAGGAAAAAGTTTTTTTTGACAATACGTTAATAGTAAAGATGAAAAAAATAAATTTGCCAAATTTTATCAACATATATCCATAAACAAGTAATCTACAACTGTTTTCACTTTCTCCTTAAGAATAACATGGGAATTTTAAATTACACTTTTTCCGAATTTTCTCCATGACCGTTAGGCATATAAGAACGCTTTGATATACTAAATTATTTCTTTTTTAAGCTCTACAAAATGGTTTAGAAAGAAATAGCAAATCTTTTGGTTTTTAGGTTCAAAAATGGGAAAAATCATATTCACCCCATCCTTGGCCATTCAAACCTATTTTGGTTTTTGGCCTCGCCAACAAGTTGCCTCCAGTGTTTTCTGTCTGCTGCTTGGTCAATTGATGTCCCCATGCACTGAACGTCTTTCCGCACCTGGTCTCCCCATCGTAGTTTGGGTCTTCCTAGTGATCGGGTCCCTCGTGGTCGTCCATTTGTAGCTATCTTCAGGAGACTGTTTTCTTCTCTTCTCGCTATATGTCCTCCCCATCTCAATCTTCGGCTCTTAACAATAGCTACTATATATGGGTCTTCGTAGAGTTCTCGTAGTTCTCTGTTTTTCCTGATCCGCCAAATTTAATTTTCTTTTATAATTTTCATTTAACCCATATAACTACCCATAAACCCCTGTTCCCATGGCCCAATTATGCTGGTTCGTGAACTTGTCCGAATAAACGTAGGTCTTCACGTTTGTACCAAATTTCATTAAAATCTGATAATTTTTGCTCAAGTTATCGTGCTAACGGACACATACACAGAAAACAAAAGGTTTTCTCTTGAGATCTATTGCAGGTCAAAAATTTGAGAGTTATTTTCAGAGTTTGGTTTACATATTTAGTTTTGGCTGTATGCAATCTATTTACCAACCGATTTTAATAAATTATCGTCTAAAAGCTACACTACACAATTACATGAAATATAGAACAATAAAACATATTTCTACAATATCTCCCATTTATTTTCCATACTAAGAGTTACCCATGTTGGAAAATATCTAGATTCGTAACCTTCAAAACTGTAATATTTCTTTAAATTTATGATATGAATGAGTTAAGCTTAACCCTTATTTGATTGAAATAATATATGTTTTAAACGTAAGTAGTCATAAAATATAAAAATTATAAAAGAAATTGATGAATACGATACTGAAAATTACAGTAAAATATGACAATTAACATTTTTTTTACAGTTAACTTTTTTTAAAATACCAACAATTTTGAAATTAAAAGTACATGTAGCAGTCTCAAAGTGTCAAGAGCCAGAAAATTTAAGAATCTGTGACTTATAACCATTCATTTCATAGTATGATATTTAAAAGCGTTTGGCAAATTTTAAGCCGTTCAAGCACTAACAAATTTCCATGACCTCTTATTAATAGATAAATATGACCTTTAAGGATTGAAATTGTGTATAATCTGCTCTTAAATGATTTAAAGTATAGGAAAATATCCCTTGAACACCACTCATGAACTATTTGGAACTTTAACAAAGTATTTCTAACGCTGGACTGCGATTTTAGCTACATTTAATGTCTAAATGTCAGGCCTTGAAGTGAACTGATGATTGTTTTCAATTGTTAACCACATATTTGGGTTGGGCTGGTTTAATTGAAGAAGTGTACACAAAAAAATTAAAGATTTTACCTTTTGAGATCTATTGCAGGACAAAAACAAAAACTTTTACAGTCAATTTCAGAGTTTGGTTGATATATAGCCTTTCGAGCACTAACAAATTTCCATAAACTCTTATTAATAGATACATATGACCTTTAAAGATTGAAATTGTGTATAATCTGCTCTTAAATGATTTAAAGTATAGAAAAATATCCCTTGAACACCACTCATGAACTATTTGGAACTTTAACAAAGTATTTCTAACGCTGGACTGCGATTTTAGCTACATTTCATGTCTAAATGTCAGGCCTTGAAGTGAACTGATGATTGTTTTCAATTGTTAACCCCATATTTGGGTTGGGCTGGTTTAATTGAAGAAGTGTACACAAAAAAAATTAAAGATTTTACCTTTTGAGATCTATTGCAGGACAAAAACAAAAACTTTTACAGTCAATTTCGGAGTTTGGTTGATATATAGCCTTTCGAGCACTAACAAATTTCCATAAACTCTTATTAATAGATACATATGACCTTTAAAGATTGAAATTGTGTATAATCTGCTCTTAAATGATTTAAAGTATAGAAAAATATCCCTTGAACACCACTCATGAACTGATTTGGAACTTTAACAAAGCATTTCTACTAACGCTGGACTGCGATTTTGGCTACATTTCATGTCTAAATGTCGGGCCTTGAAGTGAACTGATGATTGTTTTCAATTGTTAACCACATATTTGGGTTGGGATGGTTTAATTGAAGGAGTGTAGGCTACATTTAAAAAAACAAAGATTTTACCTTTTGAGATCTATTGCAAGGCAAAAAAAAAAAAAACTTTTAGAGTTAATTTCGGAGTTTGGTTGATATATAGCCTTTCGACCATTAAAAAAATGTCCATAAACTCTTATTAATA